TTTCTTCTTCTGTGTGATAGTCTGTTAATAGCTTGAGAGCCAAGGTGTGCCCCTCAAGTCTCTCTTCTGGTTAAATAGTCCCCTGCTTCTTCACAGGACATTTCACTCAGATTTCTCCCATTCCTGATTTTCCTCCTCTGGTCACTCTTTGTAAAGACCTCTGCAGAGACTTGGATGCAGCCTTGCGCCTGGTGGTTGGACTGGAGGTAGGCAGATCAGTTGAACTGTCTAGAGAAGCAATGCTGACCTGCTACTTGAGATGGAAAGATTTGAAGCATGAAGATATCAGGGAGATGAAACTCACAAGGCTTGGCCCTTGTCCATCATTATTTGTTATAGTCTGTCTCTCCCTCTAGAATCTTCCCTGAGGCAGGGCACTGTCCGTCTGTGTTGTTCATTGTCGTATCCCTGCTGCTGAGAACAGTATCTGGCACCTGGTAGTCTCCACAGTATTTTTAAAAAAATAAATGAAGGAATAAATGAGGGGAGGAATTGCTGTAGGATTTGAGGGAGTTGATTGACTATGATTTTGAGCTGGGATAGGTGGTGATGGCATTAAGAGAAAGCTTGAAGTTAGTAGGAAGACTGCTTTGGGGCCAGAAGAGGAGTGCTCTAGGAAATGTAGGGTTTCAGACCCCACCTGGATGTGTTTATTTAGGAGTTCAGGGCTGAGAGGGGAAGAAGGTAGTGGCTTGCTGTGGTTATGACGGTCAGGGAAGGCATCCTGGCAAAGGTGGGATAATGGAACCTCTGAGGTGGGTGAGATCTGACTAGATGAAGAGGGAGCCAAAGAGAGACTCCTAGATGAGGAGTTTAAGAAACTGAAGACTTGTTTGGAAGCACAGGATGGTTGGGAATGGAGATGACACTGGGAAGAGATCTGTGAATAGATCCGTTGACCTAGAGTAGAAGTAGGAGATGAGAGACAGACCAGGCGGATTGGATGTGCCTCCAGCTTACCATTTGTTGTCCTGCTTTGACTAAAGAGAGCTGGAGATGGAGCACAGGGTTAGGGCAGTTGCACTGTCAACTCTCTTAGTCATGTTCTAGACCAGCTTTGGCCAGCTGTCTCCGTCTTCCTGTCAATTCACTTAGTCCAGTGCCCCCATCTTTTATCTTTGCTTTAGCTGTTTTAGTTCCAGCAGGCTTGACTGCTGCTGCTTGGTCAAACTAAAGTCAAGTTTTTGCCTTTCATTTCTGTTCAGTGCAAAAGCCATGGGTGTCATGTGGCAGAATGTTTTCATTCAAAAAAGGCTAGACTTTAAAAAAATTTTATATATAGAACTATTGTATTATAAAATATAATTAAGTGAAATGAAATTCCTCACCATTCTCCTTTTATGTTAAAAACTAATTTTATGTTATATGAAAAGGTTTACAAATCTCTCCTTATTAAAAAAAAGAAAAAAAGAAAAAACACATTGTTTTCTTAGCCTTGCTGACTCATCATGATAAATTTCACACTTTGATTTAATCCTTGCAAGGTGAAAGTTGGCCAGGAAGAAGTGTCAAACCACTCAAAGTAGATCAGTTCCATGAAATAGTGTGACATAAGATCGTTAATTTTTGTTTTTGCTTTTGTTTTCTGGGGTTGGAACATAGAACAGTGGGAAGGGAGTGAGTGAAGGGAGCATGTCAGACAAAGGAGGGGATGTGCACAGGGCTGGCATGGAGGGCTTTGAGGGCCACCATGTAGGTGGGTTTACTTCCGGGGGGCCGATGTGATCTTCCCATTCACTGCTATATTGCATGACTTGTGCCAAGAATAATCTTGGAGAAAGTGTTACCCGCTGCAATAGCGTTCTAACTCAGACTAGCCTAAAGTTGTTTTTCAGGTGCATTGAACACCCTTTCTGTATTCTCTTTCATTTGTTATAGTCATTTGAAGGTAGAAAATGATACTGTAAGCCCACTACTGGCAGAACATAACACTGTGCTTTGATGACAGGGTCAAGTCTTCAAAGTAGAGAAACAACGTAGATGCTGAAGAATGGAACTTTAGTTGTCTCTAATTTATGAAATAGAGGAAACAGACGTGAGATGGCACAGTGAAACGTTTTCCTCAATATAGTATAGGTTCCTTCACTTTGATTGTTATACATAGTCTTGTTGAATTTTTTTATATATTTAGCCACAAGCAACCATTCTTTTAAAAATCTGTATTATATTTATTTGAAATATGCCAGGGGTAATTTAAATGAAGAGGAAAGTTTAGAACTATATATTTTATATTTAGTTTCTGATATTTCTTCTTATATGTTAAACATTTTATTTTCATATTGTATTATTACAGATGACAAATAATTCATATATATATTATATATA